ATTACCGTTAAAAGAGACACCTACTTTGGCGCTAAAAATCGAGTATCGCAGTTGTGGAATCAATTTCCGGTGGAACTCTCTAACAAAGGAGGTAAAATACTTGTGTAATCTAATGATAATAAGGGGGATAATTACTGCACCAAGTTTTTGATATTTCAATATTTAACTTGATTCCTGATCAATAATCTAAAACACGTGTTATTTTCATTTTTTAAATATTTTTGTTTTAATTCTTAACAAATCTTAACGAGACATCTAATATATTATTACAACTAATTATATTCAGGTGGTAATTTCTTGCCATTCGAATCAGAGGTACAGAGAGGTCAGTGGCTGCCACACATTCTCAGAATCAGGTTAAATTTTGCCATTAATTTGTAAAAACGAGGTGGTTTGGTAAGTTTTGACCGAGTTTTGATCTATGAATAGTAAGAGAAAGAATGGCCTTCCCTTTGATTTTTCATCCCGGGTTGCCCAAGTAATGTAGATAATAACATATCTCTGATAGCTAATTTTGACTCCTTCCAAATATATTTATCTAAGATGGGTTTCTGAAGTTTTGATCCAGGCATAGTTTGAGATTGTAGACCCACTCTTGGATTTTTCATTCCGATTAGCCTTAACAATGTAGATAATATTTTGAGAAGTGTGTCAAATGGGACGTATTTATGTCACAATTTGATGGATATATTTCGAAGATTTTAAAAGTGCAGAGTAGATGAGATCTCGATTTTTCTGTCGCTGTTTACTGACCAGTGATGTTTTTGGAACCGAAAATCCTTCCCAACCTCTCTTTAGTTGTCTTGGACTCTAGGTAATGCCGCTCTCAAATTCTGTGTTATAATACTTAAGCGTAATCACATTATGAAAATCTATTTATGAGGCCATATATTTGCTTATCTCAAACTGCAAAGTGTTTTACAAATTGAATAACGCTCCAGATTGATTTAGCGGGGATAATAGTTCTTACATTACTCCCACTATACTGGTGTAGGGTATATAAAATGCCAGTCCGAAGCTTGATGTTTAGCTACAGCTATATTTGCGCTTATTCAAGAATTTAACCCATAAAATTATATATCGACTGATCAAAGCATCAGAGCAGAGTTAAATCACTGTTTGACCAACATGTTCAGAAGAAGATGATTTGAAACAGATTTATTTATTATAATCTACTCGTTTAAAACGGATACATCTCTCAACACATTTTGTGCCTTAAATTTAGCTTAGCTATTTGTTTTTATTTTTGGAGGATAGTATCTTAGGCATATGTTTCTTGACGAAAAATAGCTATTTCTGTGTTCAGACAGATGGTAGATTAAGTTGATGCTTGGATAATTTGCAGACTCGACGTTTTTGGAAAAGGATATGAGTGGAGTATCGGACTAATATCAGATCAATTGGCTATTCACACAACAGATGTTAAAGTTTGTTTCGGATCATAAAATATATGATTATGTTTATTTATCTCTTGTCTTTATAGAATTCTACAATAATAACCAAATTCAATAATCAATCCGTCGTTTCCTTTTATTTCCTTCAACTTTATGTTTCCAGTCTTCAAAGTATCATAGATTTACTTCTGTCTTTTCTCAATGAAAGTCAATATTCGCCCCTTGGCATGGTATATCACCAACATTCTCCATGCAATTTATGAATTGACTATCAATAGTTCAATATTTGATTTTTACATGTAGACAAGCAAATATTCAACTTATTATGTAATACCATAGATTGTTAAACATTATAATGTATATTATAGGTTTGCTCATAATATGTAGTTTGAACAGTTCCACCGGCATATTGTAAGCTGAAACAAAATAGTTACAAATAAATTAATATACATATTCCTTGGAAAAGGGGACATAACCAACACACCAATCGTATGCTACAGACCGAATTTATCAACTTATGATCTTATTTTTTATTCCTTTACTTTTTGTCACCAGTTATCTCCCTTGGATTAATCCTTAAATATTAATGTAAAATGTGATATGACTGTTCCGTATTGTATATTTAGGTCAATAGGAGATACATATATTGTATATTTAGGTCAATAGGAGATACTATATTGTATATTTAGGTCAATAGGAGATACTATATTGTAAATGTGGGTCATTAGAAGATATCGTAATGTATATTAAGGTCAATAGAAGGTACCATATTGTATATTTAGGTATTTAGAAATGAAATTAAATGAATCTTGCTTTACGTCCTACTTTTCTGCATTAGATATTTAGAAACAATTACATATTGTATATTTAGGTCAATAGAAGATACGTTATTGATTATTCAAGTCAATAGATGATACCATATTGTATATTTAGGTCTATAGCAGATACCATATTGTATATTTAGGTCAATAGAAGATACCCTGTTGTATATTTAGGTCCATAGAAGGTACCATATTGTATATTTAGGTCAATAAAAAGATACCCTGTTGTATATTTCCTGTTGTATATTTAGTTCAATAGAAGGTACCATATTGTATATTTAGGTCAATAAAAAGATACCCTGTTGTATATTTCCTGTTGTATATTTAGGTCAATAGAAGATACCATATTGTATATTTAGGTCAATAAAAGATACCCTGTTGTATATTTCCTGTTGTATATTTAGGTCAATAGAAGGTACCATATTGTATATTTAGGGCAATAGAACATATATTATTGCATATTTAGGTCAATAGAAGATACCATATTGTATATTTAGGTCAATAGAAGATACTCTGTTGTATATTTAGGTCAATAGAAGATACATGTGGTATATTTAGGTCAATAGAAGATACTCTATTGTATATTTAGGTCAATAGAAGATACTCTATTGCATATTTAGGTCAATAGAAGATATCATATGGTATATTAAGGTCAATAGAAGATACCACATTGTATATTTAGGTCAATAGAAGATACTCTGTTGTATATTTAGGTCAATAGAAGATACATGTGGTATATTTAGGTCAATAGAAGATACTCTATTGTATATTTAGGTCAATAGAAGATACTCTATTGTATATTTAGGTCAATAGAAGATATCATATGGTATATTAAGGTCAATAGAAGATACCACATTGTATATTTAGATCATAAGAAGATAACATAATGAATATGATACAAAAATATTTTTTGGGAAATTTGAATTAAATAGAAATACATCTTCAAGAATTTTAAACCTAAATGTAAAATCAAATTTCAAAGTAATAATGTGTTCTCATGCTGAAATCTTTTATAAATGCAAATATTTTTAAATCTAACAGTACCAAGCTGAAATTCCAGTTCGTATAAAAAATAATAATCTGTAAAATTCAATTTACCAATGAATGTGCGAAGACATCAGACGTGTATATAAGAATTAAGGTGAATACCCGACCCTGTGTTTTATATTCCGAGTTATATTAAGATATTTTAGATGTATAAATTAAATGGCTACTGTGTCTTTATAATATAAAAAGGTGTGGATTTATGAGAAATTCGGAGTAAACTGAGAGAAGAAATAAAGATATAAATAACCGTAATAAGACAGGTATAGATATGTTGAGGATTATGTAGATCGTTAAAAGATAACTTGAGAAATCTATTAGATACCTAATTGGCATTTTATCAACAGCCGTCAAAAAATTAAAGAGAAAAAGGGGTTGAAATTTCATTCATTCACACATGAAACTTCTATCTAAATGGTTGCTACTCAAAGAAAATATTTATTTTGACTTGTGTAGATGATTTGATTGAGACAGAGGTATGGTAAAGTATTTAACGTTCGGCGCAACCTGATCGCTGTAGTTCTTACTCTCGTGCTAAGTGACTGGGGTACATTATCATTAGTTTCACAACGGGTTGTAGATGTCGACAGTGTGTCACTGCTGACACCGGCTTTTACCTCGTGGATCTATTCTTTAATGGAGTAAAAATTTATTCAGAAGTCCGTTGTGTAATAATTGTGAGACAATTTTTTTTTTTTAGTAAAAATCATGGTGTTTATATCTTTTATCTGTTGGGTCGGAAAATATTGTTGATCATTAGTTTGTGTTACTTGACATCTGTGTTTATGCTTCAAGTGTATGTGGATCAATTATTTGGTCTTTTGACTTTGAACGAACGGATTCTAATTTGTGTAGCGACATTGTCATATTATGAAGTATTTGTTTCCGCCGGTGTTAAAACGTGCAAAATTAAAATGAGTATCGGACACAAGCCCGTGGCTAGAAAAAGATCTCTTTAGGGGTGCAGAATTTTTTTAATTGGAGGGGGCTTAATTTCGAGAATTGTGTTGGATAATAGGTCGTTTTTAACATCTTTCAAAATTGTCTCGGGGAGGAGAAATATTTCTTAGATTTGGCCCTAATTGGACTTACAATATGGTTCTGTTTGAAATTGCCCATAATATCAATCTTAAGTTTATATTTTTGACGCCTACTTCAACAAAAGTTATAAGATAGATCCCAAATTTTAGGATATTGAATTAAATATAGAAATTAGTTTAAGGGATAAATGAAATGTTTTCTAGTCTCTCTGTGTATCTTGAGGACATTTGCAACTTCTATTTGCACCTTTCTGGGGTTTTTTCGTCCTGCTATTCAAGATAAAACGTAGAGATCGTGATGATAAAATAGCAAATTCCACAAGGATTTTAGGGTTATGACGTCTGATCAAGTAATACAAGAACTACAAGTATCGGGGGTACCCAGAAAAATGCAAATGGAATGAATATGTGACCTGTCCTCAATACACGTGCGTTTGCTGAAAATTCACTAATCTATTAAATTTTAAGTCTTTATTATCCCAAACAGGTGGGGAAAAGTGGGACGTCATTTCCTTTGGTTTTTGTGAAATTGGTCTAAGATAAGTTTGGAAATTGATATGGTCCAACCTTTCTCTTCAGATTGACTGGAACTAGAATGGTAATCATGGTTTAAATATATAGTAAGGCTGTACGAGGTCTTCCTGAAGAAAACAAGCACCTGCTATTTTACCTGGATTAATCAACTGTGATAAACTATAAATATGTATCGTGGATTAGTTTGTACCCTGGTATTATGTTGTATACAACGCGGATTAACAGAAGACACCCAGAACATAAGAGGTAAATGATTGTTTGGGATTCCCTTCCTTACATTAATCTTCGCTTCTTGTAGATTTCAGCAACTTGCTGATGTATGCTTTACACGAAATATAGCAGTGGCGTGAAAACGTCGCAAAGGGATACGAAGGGTTGGCATTTCGATAGTATATTCTTTCTAGAATTAAAACATCTTTTCTGCTACTGTTTGCTTCTATACAGCTCACAAGAATGTAAAATCCAATTAGACATCGAGTAATTATTTTAGTTGTGTTTTTCTAATTGTATTTTTGGCTCTCGCTCTGTGGGGCTTTCAACAGGTGTTTCAACAAATTGTTATGAATTGCCAAAGTTTTGGGTTTTATGGTGGCAATTGGGATTTTTTTGAAACAACATCAATGCAATGAATCTCTAGATTTGTCATTATTACTTTTGACAGTTAGCCAATTCCTTATCGTGTTTATTCGTGTAAATCCATTGAGATGTTGATTATGATAAGAGTATTCTCTAGGGATGTTATAATTAAAATATAATCTTGAGTTTTATCTTTGAAATATTCGCCCACGCATATTTCTAATTCAAATGCCGAGTGAGCTAGACAGCAATGCTGAAGTGAGTTTCATCGCCAAGGAAATGAACGGTACCAGGCATGTTCAGACATTTGAGTGGAAATTATATCCCCTAGTTTTTCTATTCAAGCTAAATTCTCTGACAGGGAAAAGATTGCAGGGAAAACTTAAGAGAAATAGTTTAGGATTTATAGGGGAAGGGGGGCAATGCAATCGATCAACGAGCTCGAAGGTGGTAATAATTTTTTTCTTCTTTATAAACTTTCTGTAGGGCTTAACAAGCAACCATGTCTACCCCTCCCCCACCACCGGCCCCTCTGTAGCTTCGGTCCTGCTCGGGACAATGATTAGTGTTAAGAAAGGTCTATGTCTGTCAGACCTTAGGCAGTATGTACTACTACTAAATATTCCATTGCCCCAATAGACATTGTTTGAGAGTTAAAGAGCAACACGGGCCAATGTCTGCCATATCTAGTACTTATATGAAATGTTGTTATAAACATTGTCTTTAAGAAAAAAATAACAAACATCTATGTCTCGCAAACCTAGGGCAATAAGTACTAGTACGAACTACTCTACTGAATAGCAAAGGTACCTTATCTACTAACAATATTGTGTAGGTATAAACAAACGATAAATAAATAACTCTGTAGTAATTAAGTTCATTAGTATAAATAGACTAAATAAACAATAGACTACCAACTGACAGATAAACTGCCATCTCTGCCAACAGAACAACATCAAAAGTACAGACAAACTTGTATCATTGTACTGTTTACTACATTTTCCAAAGTCGCGATATAAATGAAATGAATGGAATTTAACGCCCTACTTATCTGAACCATGAGGGCTAATGAAGACGGGCAACACCATGCATCGTGCAATGAGGGAAATTTTGCCAGGACAGTGGCCTTAGCCGATTTCCAAATCTGTAAGGTGCACAGCCTGTAGTGTCTCGGTTTATTGTCCCATCCAAACGACTAGACGCCTTTTCCATGTCAGCCCCTCTTACCTGCATCACTGACATCTGGAAACCGGATTGAAAAAGTAGCGACATAAGACAAGTCTTGTAAATGAATAACTAGAGAACAATGTATCTATTTTATTCGATTTTTTTTTTTGCATTAAAACTTCTCTTAACTAACAATGGAAAGAAATGCCACCGATCAGAGCAACACTACCACGCTATAGATGAGAAATATCTGTCCTTAGTTCCCAAAAAATTACGATTATAGACTGTTGCATTTGGCTAGCAATGTCTGAAAGTTAATTAAGATTTAAGATGATAATTCCTTTTTTATGATGTAAATTCTAACAAACTTTGACAAAACTGTCAACTTGCCTAATTCTTGAAAGACAAACGAGATTTTTAACAAATTAGCATAAAATTGAAAGAACCGCACCCCAAATAGTCCAAATATATCAACACTCATTTGCATTAGAAATTCAAAATTTGATATATTTACTGTTAATTGTTTTTGATTGTTTAAAAGTGACCATACGGAAAAATTTATGTCTTAGTCTAAAAGGAAAAAAAGCTACAGTTACAAAGTTATAAGAACCGAATGAAATATTATTGTCGTTAATGAAAAACCTGATAAATGATGTCAAGTGTATACCAGACCAGACTAGTAACTAGCTATCCAACAAATGTAATTGTACAAAAAACAAACATGTGAACATATTCATGTATTCTCTTGGAAAATATTTTCTAGTGCAAGGTTGTGATTTATGATCATGTGTTCAAGGTTTTTATAGCGCTCAAGTTTGATTTATTTTTCAGAGGATGAGTCATCACAACATTCGATACAAAAACGAGAAACTGCAGTACGATATGGGGTGAGTGAAAACTTTTGCTATCCCGTCTCTTTCCATTTCTACTGCTGTTCAGTTTGTTCTTGAACCTTGCTGGCCTTCTTGTTTGATATTTTACTCTATCAAAAACAAGCTCGTCCTGGTGATAGATTAAGCGGGTCGACATTTTGATTGCCTGATTGATTTCATCTTTTGACATTTGGATGCTTTTTGTATTGTCGTATAACGTCAGAATCTCTGTCTAAAGAGTGATACAGGTAGCTTAGTAAAGTCAACATTAAAACCAATTTATCCAATTCATGTTTGTTCTTTATTCCAGCCTGTACCATACACAGATCATGAACGCGCCCCTCAACCCAATACAAGGCGAGATAGTGGTGCAACGGAACCAGGAGAAACAAGGGGAACATACTTCTCCTCCGAAAGTTCTCATTCTCAAGTCAGTGGACGGGTAGGCGGATCTCAGTCTGGTTCTGCCTCGGAGTATGATCGACGATCAAGAAGGATTGAAGCTGAAAGGCGAAGAAGACAGCATCAGATAGAGTTGGATAGAAGGAACAGGGAGATAGAACGCCGTAATCAGGAAAGACGTCAATCATCTGGGTCTGGTACTTCCGGTAGTAGTGGCGGAGAGTCGACAGGACGAGGGCGACAACAATATTCATCTACCGGTACATATTCATCCATAATTTAAACCCAATCCAGAGTAAAAAAAAAAAAGACTCTAAGGAGGACTTGAAGCTATTGATACAGAAGGGTCTTGATACATTACGGTAGCCATTGTTTTTGGTTTGACCCACAAATTTGAATGGGAGATCTAAATGACCTTATTCCTTATGGGTAACTAGTTCGATTTCAGGTTTCCAGCTGTACACTTATTAAGGTCTGTTTGTATTTCCAGGTCAAGGAGCTGGCGAAGGTTTCTATACCGAAACCCGGTACTCAGGAACTAGTGGAACTAGTGGTACTAGTGGTACTAGTGGTAGGACTGGTACTAGTGGAACTAGTGGTAGGAGTGGTAGTTCGGGATCAGACAGAAGTAGCTACCCAGTTTATGGAAGCAATGGTCAAGGATCTAGTCAAGGATCTAGTCAAGGATCTGGTCAAAGATCCGGCCAAGGAACTCGTCAAACGGTTTACCAATCCAGTGGAACATATGTACCATCAAGAGGTGGTTATGTCCCCACTGGAACACGAAGTTACATCCCTTCAGGAAGCTATGTGCCCTCTAGTGGTACAAGGGGAACCTTTACATCAAGTGGAACATATGTACCACGGAGAACATATGTTCCAAGTAGTTCGTATGTCCCCAGTGGATCAGGTACCGCGTTTGTATCGAGGGGATCTGGCACCGCATATATACCACGGGGTTCAATAAACCCTGGCGGTTCTGGGACATCGTTTGTACCAAGGGGTTCTGTCAATCCACGCGGGGCTTATGTGCCAGGTGGAACTGGTTACGTATCGACAGGAAGTGGTTACGTTCCCAGTGGCTCTGGAAGTGGTTACGTTCCCAGTGGCTCTGGAGGTAGTTACGTTCCCAGTGGCTCAGGAAGTAGTTATGTACCCAGTGGTTCTGGAAGTAGATACGTTCCGGCTGGCGGTTCCTATGTTCCCAGTGGTGGGTCATATGTTCCTTCTTCCTCGTTACCTAGATATACAGCTAATCCACAGTATGATTCGGTAAGATTTGGTATTAGGCATTATAATGTTATGTCACAGTTATTTTGTCCACAAATTTTGTTAGATTCCCATCTTACTGCTCCAACATGATTTATGGCAGTTGCCCACAGAGTTTTCTACAAATAGCTGGATTTGATTGGATTAGGAAGCAAGGTTCTGCATGGAAAAAAGGGTTTGATCTAGTAACTATTTCCCCTTTTCAGATCTGTCCACAGACTGGTGTGCGATTAAGGATCAATGGATTAGACTGCACTCAGGCTATTAATCAGTTTGGATCGTCATTGTGTTACCGTCACGAATTTACATCACGAGAATGTTGTGATAAATGTCAACCATTGAAACAACCAACTAAAGCAGGTCAGTATTTCTTTTGATTTACTTAATCTCCACAATGCGCTTTGTTTGGTTTATATATACTACGTAAATCGGATATAAATTACCAGACCACTTACTGGATAGATTTTCGTGAAGTAATGAAAAGAGGATCACCTCGGCTATCCATCCCTGCTTCTATCTACAGTTGAGAATAACTCTCAATTTTACTCTCGAATTCCCGTCACTCAATACTCAATTATATTGTTTTCTACAGGATGTGAATACGGCGACCATTCCTATCAATGTCGACAGTTACAGAGGTTTGATTGCTATGATCGTCGTCACAATGAACGATGCTGTGAATCCTGTCAAAGATTCAGAACTGGTGAGTATGCCATTTGATGAACTACACCTTATTGTACTAATAAACCTTTTATCTCTTGTGTTTTCTTAATAATAAGCATTAATGTACATATAGTTGGTCAATTATCATTCTGTGCCTGAGAACACGTTGAAACGTTGCATAAAACTTTAACCAGTGATTGTTGTTCCATAAAGCTGGGTCTATATTATATACTCCTTATAACTTGTCTTCCAGGACACTAGAATATAGTCCACTATTTCATTCTTATCTTCCTACTCCACTAAAGGGTGATGGTTTTTGAGTCTTATTTGCAAATGGTACACGGAATGTCTATCCAAATTTTCGATGATACAGGTCGTATGCATGGAATCCAACAAAGCGTTAAATTGTTAGAATGAAACAGTCGTGAGGAGTCGTGTATGCTACCGTCTAATTGTTAACATCCACTGTAGGAAAATACAAGGTTAATACCTTTTACGGCCGTTTGATATTCCAATTTGTAGCTTTTTGTTTCAGGTGATCCTGGATGTGAATATGGCGATATGACGCCGAGATGTGAGCAAGTCAGAGAAAAACCTAGTCTATGTTATATCCCAGATAACGCCAGGTTCTGCTGTTCTACATGTGCTTCTTTAAAAGATACATCAAAACCAGGTCAGAAACTTATAGCCCGTGGTATACGAGAGCACTCGGAAGCTAACACATAGGCTGCAAGATGAGATATCTAATATGGGAATCTGAAGTTAATTCTAGTATTTGTAGATATAGTACTAGTGATGCAGTGAAAAAAACAATTCTTGTCTTCCAGACTATAAATCGAGGCCCGTTACAGGCTGAACTACGCAATAATGCTTTTGTTTGATCTAAAGATACTCATTGTACATGATGTTGCATTGCTCATTTTATAGCTTAGTCCAAGATTTTACAGAAAAATAAGTTTGCATTAAATTTATTTCAATTTTTCAGAATGTCCATGGGGCGACCAAAATATTAATCTTTGTGAAGCCTATCACCCTGGTGGCGAAGTTCGAGTCAATTGCTATTCACCACCAATAGCTAGGTTATGTTGCCAGTCTTGTCAACGAATTAAAAGTCGTTACTCTGGGCAATATGCTGTAAGAGGTAAACCACCAGTTTGATCTATGGTTCATGCTTTTCATTTCGAACTCATCGACTGACACTGTGTCGGCTTTAGCAGAGGATCTGACAGGGAAGAACGAGATAGTTGATTAAAACAACCACAATACATTCTGTATTCCGTTTAATTAAATAATTTGCAGTGATGTGTGACGAATAATTTAATATTTCTTTTTCAGGTTGTGAATATGGCGATAAACCAGTCATATTTAATACTGATCAGTTTGGTAGTTTGAACTGTACAGCATTCATTAGACAGTTCTCTGCCGAGCAGTGTACCCTTAACCAAGCAGTGGCAGAGAATTGTTGCTTCACTTGTGGGCGATATCGACAACAGTAACGCTGTGGGTGTAATGTCGATTCCAATTGCTCAATATATAGTATATAGAGTATACAAGAAAAGTGCCTATGAAAGGATTCTAGCTTGTATATTCTTGTTCGCTTCCGTAGCAATTGGTATTTTGTATATATTACACAGATAAATAGCATCGAATTTACTAACCTTACCATTTTTTAAAACATTTGAACAAATTTATTTAAATAGGAGTTGAAGAGGAGGCCATTTGGGACTGAATTATGATGTCATTGGGTTTAATTTGGATTTTTATTTTATCTGAATGCATTTTATCACCAAATTGTCAGTAAGGTAGAAAAGAATGTAAGACTCACGTAAAAAATGTATCGTTATCGCTAGGGTCATGTATAGTTAACTGAAGGATAAAAATCTATTCATTCTGAATATGTTTGGAATACAATATACGAGTGTAGGGTGACAATTCGGAGCCTATCTTTGATTGCATTTTTAAATAGCTATAATATTTACTGTTCAATTCATTAAAAGTCACACTTTTGCCAGAGGTTTTCCATAACTTGGATCCTTGCTTTGTGGCTTCGAAAGCCTCCACAGTGGCACAAATGGGTTCGTCGTCATGTTCAAACGGCTTTTCCAGCAACTGTTTCTTCGTGTTGATGTACAGACTTGAAGTGTAGGTGGCCACTGTGACCATTGAAATGGCATCAGATAGGCTACAAATTTTAAACCCCACACCCGTTTAAGCTTGTTTGCATAATAGATAGATGATCATTTCATTGATGTAAATAATCTTTTTACTTTAATAAAATAACAACCACAACGTATCTTGTGTAGGCGTTGTCAACACCAAGGTCATAATACTGAGCATCCTGTTTATCATTTTCACTTTGTAAAGTTATTACGAACTTCGTACTTAAACCCTGACCGCAGTTGTCACCTTTCTTGTGTATTGGCTTACAATCCTATCAAATCGCTGCATTGCGTGATACAAGAAAAGCTGTGAACATTAAGGCATTGTGTTCACAGATTCTGATTAGCTATATGCTCTAGCGTTTAGTCTAATCTAATCGTTTATTTTTTCAAACCTTTATGATACAAGAAAGGTGACTGTTTCGGTCAAGGTATCGTTCATAATTTCGTAATAGCTTGACATTGTGAAGAATCCTTTCTACAGAGTTTGAATTACATGTCAACGCCGAAGGGGAAATAAACAATGGGCAAATTTTAGGGCAAGTCGGTTTAAAGACCAAAAGACAAACACCAAGCTATGTGATGATATTTGTTTTGAAGATCTGTATAGTCAAACAGGCAAGGGTATCATAAATGTGCAGAAGACGGGGCTCTGTTATTTCGCCACAGGTTGCTTTATTGATCCATGAGAGCTCCTCCAGTTAGAACGCTTAACATGAGATAGCTGGTAGAAAAATAAAGAAGGAGCGCCCAAACTTAAACCATGTACATCCATTTTTGCAAGAATGCCCGAATCTCTAACCTATTTATGAGATTTTTGCTCGAAAACTTGCTTTCGGGGCTGCCCTCCCCTCTCCACCTCCCCTGGCTCGGCCACTGCGCTTCATCTATCTCTTTAACAGATACCTGTACCTCGGCTTTTCACTTAAGCTGAAGGTTGAGGCAGAATGGCCAATAAAACTAAATGAACAACATCAGGAGTAATAACTGTAACATTTTGTTCTATTGAGAATTATGTTTGTTTTCTACAATCAACAGACAATGAAAAAAAATATCCGTTGCGTCAAACTGATTATTAAGGCATTCCTTTATCAAAATAACTGTACAATATATTACACGATTGGTTATCCATACAGATATAAACATTACTATTCTACCTCTCACTTTCACTTTATAAAATATATCAAAAATAAATCTTTCAAACATCATTACTTCTGCACAACTGAGGTCTACTGTTCTCGATTCTTAGTTAAGGTTAACTGTTTCTGGTGGTGGAAATGTTTAGCCAAATTACCCCAACTACACTACGTTAGGTAACAGGTGTTAAAGATGGACAAATTTGGTCAGAATTCCCACAAGGGGGTCATCTGCTTCTATGGTGGACATGTTTAGCTAGGTTTACTACATCAAGGTGTCCTTAATTAAGGGCTAAAAATGTGTCCACCGGTTGCGATGTTGAGCCATTTTTGCAAGAAACTACAGATCGTATGAGCTCATGTGAAACAAAACCAAGAATTTATCATATTATGAGCCTCGAATATCAATGTTGTCTGAAGCTAGTACGAGTTATTTCCCCTAAACTATAAAAGTATAATATTGCACAAACCATTCATCCAATCATTTGTAAAACATCAACAAATTATGCATCTCAATAATTCACAAAAACATTAATAGAATCTAGATTTTATGCTTTGCCTCAGTTAATTTTTATAATTGTCTCGACTTACACGGCGCTACATCGAATTTCGAATTGAACAAACGTTTGGCAATTCGTATTCAAAGATATCATGCTGGTAAAAAAATTATAGGCCTATTCAAAAACAATGAACACGTTAACGAATGAACCACTCACTCATGTAATGAGCATCACAAATGACGTCACTTCCGCACCACACATCCGGTCACATGATTAATAACAATGATGTCCAAGTTTCACATTCAAATTATTTCATGCATTCAAAAAAACATTTTGTCGTCAACTATTATGATTAACAGGTCACGTTGGTGGCATCATGCCCATATAAGGTTGTCCTTGATTTCCCATCATGCCCATTGGCGACATCTGCCTTTGTCGTGGTTGCCCATACATATGTTGTGGTGGATACATTTGTTGAGGTCCGTAACCTGGGTTACCAGGCATCATACCCGGCATCCTCATTCCAGGATTTGACTGCCTCATTCCTGGAGGGGACTGCATTGGGGGCATGTTCCCCATTGGTCTAGGTCCAGGACCCTGCATCTGTATGTGTTGTGATTGCATCATGGAAGCACTCATCATCTGTCCGTTACTCATCATTCCTGGATTACCTTGACGACCGTTACCCATCATTCCTCCCATTGGTGGCATACCTCCCATATTGTTCATAGGACCAGGACCTCCGGGGCCAGGACCCATTCCCATACTGGCCATAATAGAATCAGGCATACTGGTCATTACAGGACCACCAGCCATTGGGTCCATTCCTTGCATTCCACCAGGACCATGCTGCATTCCTCCGGGACCCATACCGCCACCAGGCATAGGACCGTTCATTCCTCCGGGACCTTGCATCCCACCAGGTCCTACTGGCATACCTTGTCCACCCATTCCTGGCATTCCTCCGGGTCCTCCCATACCACCAGGACCACCCATTGGAAATTCTGGGGTACCACTTGATCGCATCATCATGGATTGCTGCATAGCCATTTGTTGTTGACTTGAAAAAGGTGATCCTACTCCAGGCGGTCTACCAGGTTGATTTTGATTGGGAGGGAAATAGTTTAGTGTTGATGAAGGACCTTTCCCATCTATAAATTGCTGCATGAAGTCTAATTCCGGTCGTTTCTGAGGACCATTGCCATTGGGTTGGTTATTTGGAGGATGAGCCGGTAGATACTGGATGGTGTTAGGTGTTTTGGCTTGAATCTGGACATTGGCATTCCCGACAGAATTTGGTGGATAATTTGGCGAACTCATTCTGTTTCCCATCATTGGATTATTGTTCGGGCCTCCCGCTGATCCCATACCAGGGTGTGGCGGACTTGAGAATCCTGGTGATTTTCCCATAGGCCTGGAACCGGGTCCCATTCCATTGTTGACCATGATCGATTGAGACTGGGACATTGATGCTGCAATTGTCATGGCAGGTCCAGGTAATGGTGGCTCTGAATTTGAGAAATGTCCTGAGTTTCCTGGATGAGACATGGGATTGGACATTGGACTGGGTCCGCCGGGCATCATTGCACCATGTGGTATAGGACCATTGGGACCTTGCATGTGGCCTGGCATCCCTGGATGGCCTGACGGGGGCATATCGTGAGGTAATGAGCCCATATTTGATAACATAGTTGAAGCTTGGGACATTGAAACATGATTGGTATGTGAGGAAGGCACGGATGGGGGACCACTATGTGGACCATTAGGCGCACTGCTAGTTTGTGACATTCCATTGTTCATTTGTTGGACTTGCATCGTTGGGTTATACCCTGAACCAGGGCCACTTGGAGCATTCACGCTTTGAATATTTAACTGCTGAATAGACATTGTAGCGTTCACATACGTATTGTTCACACTCGGAGTTCCTTGAGATTGTGGAACACTCGAAACATTGGACACTGTGGTTGTTGGAAGCGAAACCTGTGACCCTGGTGTACCATTGTTACTATTATTATTATTACCACTTGGATTAGTACCATTGTTAGAACCATTATTATTATTGTTATTACCACTTTGCACACTATTATTATTATTGTTTGCGTTCGATGCACTTTGTCCCTGAACTTGAATACTGTGGAACGGACCACCTTGCATCATATTTTGTTGCATTTGGTTAGACAAATGTTCGACGCCTTTTGCAAGGTTTGCTAAACTTGATGAGGTAATATGTGACATGGAGGCTTTGGCTGTGGGGGTGGTTGGAGCACTGGTGATATTATTATTCGGAGGATCAAAATGGGATAATCTCATACTAGCACCACCTCCCATCATTTGATTACCTCCTGGTAGAGGTCCAGGACTACCTAAAGGTCCAGCACTTGAGTTTTGACTCGAATTAGACAAAGGTCCTTTATTGTTCATTCCTGCACCAGGATGCATCGGAGAGTTCACTTGATTTTGTAAAAATCCAGGATGAGGTTCACCTGGGTGGCCTGCCCCACTTTCATGATATGCTGTGTTAGGTTGTTTGGTGATCGTTAACTCCTGCCCTTCAAACTGATTCAGATAGTTCAGTTGCTGGGGTGAGGGAGTGGGTTGTAAATTTTTATAAATGTCTTCCATGTCGTCTCGTTTTCGTTTTTGGGCCTGTGCGTAAGTAGGTGGTGGTTTACTTCCTAATCCGTTCCGCGGAGGAGGATCGGGGCAAAATTGTTCTGGATTTCCAGCACGAAATAAACTAACATTTGAGTTCTTTCTGCCACGAGTAGGTGGTAACATTGTGGCCATATTTCGGCCTGGCATATTCGGCATCATTTGTTGATCAAAACCCGGTCCATGAGGTGGCATTGGACCATTAAAATTAGGACTCATAGCACCGTGCATTGGATCCATGGGTCTCCTCATAGGTCCAGGAGGAAAGCCCATGTCACCTTCCATACCAGGTCCACCTGGCATATGAGGTCCGTTCATGTTAGGTGAGGTAGGTCCACACATTCCTTTCGGTCCCATTGAACTATAATATGGTGGAGGAGGAGGACCATTTCCACCACCAGGATCCATTCCCATTCGCTGATGTTTAAATTTGTTGTTATAGTATTCCTGCTGCAATCGCTGCCATTCACGCTGAGATGGAGACAAGTTCGGCATGTTCTGAGGTGGTTGAGGTCCGAATTGAGACATGTTCTGCTGTTGAGATATCATGAACTGTTGCTGTTGCTGTTGCGATGACATCATACCATGCTGATTACCCATCATTCCTTGTTGTGGCATCATATTCTGTCCCATCATGCCATGCTGTTGTGACATCATGTTCTGTTGAAACATTGGATTCATTCCATCAGGCATCATTCCTTGATTTGGACCAGGGCCAGGACCTGGACCACCAGGGGGACATTGTCCCGGTGGACCACCTGGACCTACAGGACCGCCAGGGCCATCCATGAACACATCCTCACGCTGTTCGGGGAATAACATTTCCTGAAATTTCCGTAACTTTGCTAACGATGCACCTCTCCTCTGTAATTGTTCAGGAGTTAAGTTTTCATTCGGCACTTTACTTTGTAACAAGTTCATATTATTAGGATTCAATGCACCTAACTGAAAGTCATCGAAGTCTAAGTTTCCAAGAGGGTTCATTTGTGGGTTCATATTGCCTTGTTGATTCATTTGCTGATTCCAGTTCATCATTCGTGGATTATTTTGAAATTGTCCACCGTTTGGAGGAATATTGTTCATGATTCCCTGCTCCTCAAGATGAGCGTTTTGTTGCTGTACCCACTGAGCCACACTATTATTCCCAGGCATCATTCCACCCGGACCTGGAGACATTCCTGCATTTTTCATTGCATTTGGATTGGCATTCCTTATATTATTTCCCATACCAGGACCAAACTGTTGCTGCATTCCACCTCCTGGTGCCATTGGACGGTTTGGATTTCCCTTCATTGGATTACGCTGAAAAGACACAAAAGACAATGATTAGTATAAATAATTGAGGATCATGAAAAAATTTTTCTAACCAGATAAAGCTGATGAACAAATTTTAACGAAATACAAAGTACAATGAGAAAAATTTTGTCAAAGCAGAGAAACCTATTTTTCTTTCAATCTGGCAAGACATGCAGAGACTTTAACAAATAGAACCTCATTTTCATAGTGCTCTTAACTACTTTTCAATCCATACTTTAAAGAAATACTAACATTATTACTTCCCTTGAATGGAATATTATCAATAATAAATAATAATTCTGAAAATGACTCAGATTTAGTCAAAGATATCAACATATATTTCAGAAAAATAAAAGTTTGCTGTATTTTATGGCTGAATATATAATATAACTTAATCTATCCCTTTTCTTTGGCAGTGAAATACCTCAGACTGACTTTTTACCAGTACTTTCAAGAGTTGGCCCAGTGTCGGCTTCCAATCAATATCATCAAAAATAAAGTGTCAGTGTTAATGTTTTGAATAATTTGCAGATGCGTTTAAATAAATACAATATTATGCCCTAAAGTATTCTCATCACCTTTCCCTTATAACTAAACAAAACATTAAAACATATTCTACCAACCTGAAGAAATTCCTTAGTTTTGGGATTGCTCAAATGAAAGTCAATGATAGATTCACACTGTCCTTGAAGCACCATATCAGCAGCTAGATTAGCAAATTCCGTGGGGAACACAAATATCTGACTGTGCTGCTGCATGAAAGGTGGATCATTGGTCATATGTTGTAAAGCATTTAATGGTCCACTCTGAGCCCCTGGGGTCATTTTTCGGGGGTACTCAGCACTAGTAACAGCAACACCAGGTTCATCTTTTACTGAAATAGAAAATAATATTTTTACAGATCTATTATTTCACTATTTATTAAATGGTATATTAAAAGCAATGGTTGAAATAAATAACAATGATTTTGGATATAAATTTCAAGGATATTTCATCCTATATGCTAGGCCCAATAAATCTTTAGATGTATTTTGCCATAATACATTAAAGTGATACGTTTAAGAAATTTAAATCTTGGCGAATAAGAGCCAGTAGATATACCTGGTGTCATAAATAACATAACAGGATCCTTATATCATCCGATAAATCCAAAAACAACTTAGTAATTATCCATAAATATGCAATTAACTATTGAAAAACGCTTAATATCAAGATTAAGCGTTTTTCAATAATTACTTAGTTTTATGAATTTTTTTCCAGATTTTCCAGGGATTCTGTTGTAACTTTATGACACCAGGTAAGTTCACTGATGAATATTACTCATATTGACCATTTCAAGAACTTAAATTTCATGTTCATTCTGTATTTCATGTAGTATCACTTTAAGATAATAGAATTGAATCAAGTATTTAGCTGTGTCCAAGACTTGTGCCATTAAGAAGCAATCATAATGATTCAGAAGAAATCAAAAATCTTCCCTAATTTTCAGACATTGACAGAATGTTTCATTTCATGATCAAGGAAAATCTAATTTTTCTCAAATTGAAGTTTCTTTACCTTGTTTGTTATCAACTATAGGTTTGATATTATTTTTATTATCTTCCGTTTTTATATTTACATCTGAAATATCATATATATATATATATATATATATTACTTCACTGCCAGAAAGACAGATATCAAAACCATAAACTTGGATTTTCTACATCAGAATTGGTTGATCATTTAGAAGTAATGCTAGGCAATAATGGTTATTAAGTTGCATTGAAAACAATATTACTAAAGCACAGGCACAGGACGTAAATGCTAGGGTTAGGGTTATGTGCTAAATTGGAGTTGAGACGAATTGCTTAAATCAAATTTCTTTCTGCAATAATTGTGCTACATTTGCAGCACAGTGGAGCTTCCATGGAGGAGAACTACCTCCAACTCTCAGTATTTTACTAGAGAAAGTAGACCCTGTTAGCCTCTTCTCTCTCAGATTCTTCTTTACATTCTAGAAGTCTTTATTTTATTCTGAAATTACTGACCTGTTTCTCCATTTATTTTGGCTGAAGGAACTGGAGTTTTATTTTTATTTCTCTCGCTATTGGGCGGGGTGGAATCATCTTTTAAAATTTCCTTCAGCTCAGGGTTGGCCTCGGGTGAAATATTTGGACTAATAATCTCGTGATTGTTCATTGTATCTGAGGAATCTTTTAACATTTCTGCCAACTCTGCTGTTTCTTTAGTCAACACCTCTTGAGAGAGTGTTTCTTTATCTATACAGCTATTCTCTTTCTCCTAGAATAGTCAGACATGATAATTAATAGGATTGTTCTCAGGGCCTGTTAAATATTTAATTAAGACTCCATGCAGTGTTTAAAGATTTTCGTTAAGACAACAAGCCAGGGCTCTTTTCCCATTTATGAGATATACACATGCACAGTCTGGATCCCTTTACATTTTGACTCAAAAAAATGACTTCCTACTACAGTTATTAACAAGAGGAAAATGATTTATTACATTGAAATACTGGAAGGGCAAAATGGAAACAGCCTTCCTATATAGCCCCGTCTCATTTTGCCTCAAATATATCTTTATTTAACACCTAATGTTCTACAATCTACTATCCTTTGGTTCACAAAGTGAAAAAAGAAAGAATTGTGATCCTGCCAATATGACTAATCATATGAATTATATTTTACAACAGAATAGAATAATGAAAACTTTCTGCTCCATGTTTACTAATGGACACTAGACAATTAATTAAAAAACCTAATTAATCAATTAATTACCTTCAACTGAACTTCCACCAATGGAAACAGTTCATCTGTAAGATAGGAGAAGAGTTGTCTTTCTTGAAAATTGTTTGTTTTGCGGAACTGTTTGATAAATTTGTACCAATCGGAGAGGTTTACACACACTGTTTCCCATCCTGACCTTCCACTTTTTTTACTGGCATATTCTCTATAGAGTCTAAGATCTAGAATTATAAGAATAATAATTCATTATTACAGTGTTCAGTGAGTTAAGACATGATAATATGTCTGGAGTTATTTCGTTTTAAAATTACATTTTATTATCTTATATTGTTATATTGTCAAATGACCTTATTACACAAGAATTAATCTTCAATGCTGTGAAATTACTATAATTCACATAGACTGAATTTAAAAAAAAATTCTATCATTAATTTTACCCGAAAAATATAATATATGCAAAACTCTTTGGAGAGAATAATAATGCATGAATTTAAAAAATACAAAGTGAGAAAAAAATCATCCTATGTTCCACATAAAAAATAAATCTTTACTATAAAAAACCCCAAAAATTAACCAAAATACACAACACAATATCATACTAAATCTTATCAAATTCTGATATATACTGATATGTAATGTATTACAATACAGACCCCAGACCCTAGACTTCTAGAATTATGAAAATCTTACAGGTTGGTCCAATATTGATCAAACATTTGAATGATCTGTCACAACTCAAAATTAAATACTATACTAAATCTTTAAAACGAGCAAGTTAAACAACAATTCATATCTCAAGGTCCTGAGAAATAGAAAACAAGAGATAAAAGAATCTTCTTAAACATAAGTTACAATATTTAACACAATTTTAAAAAACACAGGAAACAACAATCCACAACTGAAGATTCTTTCAATTGAAAACAAAAAAAATTCGAGTTTTCTCGAACTCAAGTTACAATACTGAGCACTCTTTTAAAAACAACACGCACAATAAACAAACTACCTTTGAAATTCAAATAATGAGAAAAAAGATTCTTCTGGAAGTTGACAATGTGATACAGATAATTTAAAAAGCATTATTGATCATTCTAAATATTCCTTTTGAGAAGAGAATTCTGGCAAGAAAAAATCCATCACTTTTACAAGCTATCAGACTAAATAGTAAATGAGGAAAAAGAGTCTAAGAAAAGACAGTATATTGCAAAAACTATTATCATAGGACTACTTGACATTTTCTAAGGTAATAACATTCATTGAGAAGTGGATTATTTCTTACTCAACAAAATCTCTTTTCAAGAATATTTTCTTATTTATGCGAAGGAAGGACATTGTAGGTGTCTTGTGATCAGATGATCCCACAACAGAAGTCAATAAACCATTGTGAAGAGAGAATTAACTAATATTATTAACTGAGTTTTTTTCCTGTATTAAAGATCTTCAACCATAGGACAAATTGGATTTTGTGAGGTTGATTTTAGTCTTGAATATATGTTATTAGTCTTCCGAAGTATTAGAAATGTAACAAAATCATATAATTCCTTCGAAAATATTTCAAACTAAGAATTTCACTTTCCATTTCTATATATCACAGAGTCTCAAGAAAAGACGAGACGTCATTTAAACATTCAAACGCAGATAATTCTAGACACATGGATTGCAAGGCTCAAATTCTGAGAATAAGGTACTTTTGGTCAAACAGATGGAGATCTTGTCCCTTTAAATAATGTTGACCAGACTTAAAAAAACTAATTCCTGCTTAGGGTTAAAAAATATAAGTTAGAGACAATTATTTTGTTTTTATCCGGACATTAAGATGGTAGAAATATCCATATCTATTTGACTGTCTGTTTGGTAGAGGGAATAAGTTGTTATTATAGAATCAAACCTGACATATGTCAGAGTATCTTCCAGTATAATGGATTCTAGAGGAAACCTTTTAAGTGAAACAACCATTTAGAGATATGAGGATGTCAAGGGAACAAATGACTTTCAAACAATTACACTGGAGCTTAATTCTAACTAATGGTAATTTCTGACTCTTTCAGCTGATGATCATGACTTACTAAGGGTCTACAAGTTTTACAAGCTCCAGCCCTTGATTTTACTCACAAATATATAGGTCAAACCACCATTTTGAGCTTAATTCTAACTAATGGTGTTTTCTGACTCTTTCAGCTGATCATGATTTACTAAGGGTCTACAAGTTTTACAAGCTCCAGTCCTTGATTTTACTCACAAATATATAAGTCAAACTACCATTTTGAGCTTAATTCTAACTAATGGTGTTTTCTGACTCTTTCAGCTGATCATGATTTACTAAGGGTCTACAAGTTTTACAAGCTCCAGCCCTTGATTTTACTTGCAAATATATAAGTCAAACTACCATCTCCACTAAGCTTAATTCTAACAAATGGTGTTTTCACACATTTAGCTGATCATCATGATTTACCAAGGACGTGCGAATTAAAACATCCCCAAACACTTGATTCGGTAGTCAGATTTTCTTGTCATTTAAGCTAATAACATATATAAGGTTTCTATTTCAATATTAAGCTTAGCCAAATGATTCTCTTGTTTCTTAAAAAGCTTAAGATAGCTGAAAAGAAACAGAGTCCAAAATCTTTTGATCAACTGCTACAGTTATGGGCTGCAATGGACAATGGAGGAAATTCTAGGAGGATAGCAAGACTAAATCTTCAACTCTTTTAGCAATAAAGGAATATTCAATATGTCAATCCTGTATGAATGCAAGCAAACACTGCTTTACTCTGGCAAAATCACTCTGTACCCCCACTGCCACCGTTACAAAACATGTCCAATATAACGATCTATGCTATGCTCAGTGATGGAGCCAAAGGGGGTCACAGTCCCATAATCTCATAACTCTGCTAGAGATTCCGTCAATCTCAGATATCTCTCCCCACCCCTTGGCTTTGCCACTGGCTATGCTATGCTATGCAACTTATGTGTTAATGATCGTTTTCCATATATTTGTAACAATCGAATCAAACTAACAATTAAGCTAACATTGTGATATTTTTCCTGATCATTATAACACCTCTGTTTTCAATTGATACAAGTATAAGCCTTCCTACAATGGAATATATATACATGAATAAATGGAAATAAGGGAACCTATCTTTAAGAGAAAAGCAGGAGTAGAACCAGTGAGATGAATAAAAGTATATCGAGAGGATTATTGATATAATAATTAATTGTCTTGTACTAGCAGACTAGAGTAGAGTTTGTATTCAGCTATTCGAGACAGATTGGAATTTTAATAAGCTTTATTGAATTTTCTACTTGATTCTGTGTTTACATACACTACCATCAAATATATTATCTCCTTTTTCAAATGATTCTTTAACAGTCTATGGACTTTTCAGGAATTTGAAGGTTTCTAAGTGATTCTATTGGTCTGATTGAATTGAGAGTTTTTAGTATCATATCTACAATGTTGATTAAAGTAATATGCTCATACTGTAGAGAATTTGTATGCAACTTAAACTTAGGAATACAGACACCTATCTTAATGTTGTGCAACCTGCATCAAAGTCTTGGAATCTGTTACTTTATCAGGCCATTTTGGATCTTAAACGCTGAATCAAGGGCAATAACTCAAATTATGCAAATGAATAAAATATAAGCCACAATCATCTTAGATGTCAACAACAACAACAACAACAACAACAACAACAACAACAACAACAACAACAACAACAACAACAACAACAACAACAACAACAACAACAACAACAACAACAACAACAACAACAACAACAACAAGTAAATAAAGTAAGACAATTTTTGTTACATGTAATTAAAGGTAATTGATTACTAATTACTGGTAGTTCTGTCTCATACACTAGTCCAGCTGTTGACTACCTAATGTTTATTTTCAATTTACTAATAATAATTTTAATGATTTTTCTTGTCTACTATATTGTTGATCTGGATTCATTATGGAGAGCAATGAGCTAGAGAAAAGCTATAATTGTTTCAAGCAATTCAATCTAGTAATTACAACCCTGAATTTTACAAGTGAGGATGTATGGTCATTCTCATTATGTCACTACTGCTTAGACCATTTGTCTTTTCCAGTTAAATTACACATACTTTATTGGGCATACTTGTTTTAAGCAATTCATTCCGTATAATTACAACCAACTAAGTAATTGTCAGCCTGTGTAATATGGATACTTGCTGGTTTATTTGAACATTTCTGGTTATTCAAATTATGTACTGTATAGATCATTGTTTTTTCTAGTGCATTAAACCATATAAATGGCATAATTACCACCCTTAGAGATATTAACAAGAGATTTACAGGTATGAGGAAGAGACAAAGATACTATAAAATAATTCTGATAACTCCAACTACATCAGTACCACAAATACCAATTGTCTTTTCCAGTTAATAATGTGCATTCTAAAGTCTTTAGTATTTGTGACACAGCTTTATGGAACAACAATCACTGGTTAAAGTTTTATGCAATGTTTTGATTATGTGCCTGAGGACCACAGGGTAAACACGTCGAAACCTTGCATAAAACTTTAACCATTGATTGTTGTTCCATAAAACTGTGTCTTTAAAATGTGCATACTAGTTTGGTAGAATTCAGTCAAGTAATTACATCCTTAAGTGCAATGAAGTGGTGTTTTACATCTACTGAAGACAGGCAACACCATGCAGTGTGAAATATTGGCTAAGACAGTGGCACCTTTCTGGGATCTTTAAAGTGCACAGTCAGTAGCACACAGGACCACAACTATATGCTCCTTTTACACAACCACCCCAACCCGTAAAAAATCCTAGAATGATATATGAAGTAATTCCTTTAAACCACAGCGTGTAGACAAAGACAATAACTCATTCAATGGAATAATCATTTCACAAAATGGCTACCAATCATACTAAGCAACAATCTTCATGAAATTCATCATCAATTTCAATGAAAATCCTACCAAAAATAACTTTTTGAATCAAGTTTACATTCAAAAGACATTCAAAAATTATCTTATTGTGAATATGAAAAATAATATACAAATTTACATTAAATATAAATACATAATTTGAATTATTCATTTCAAAACTTTACCTGAATCTCTTAAAAATAACTTGTAATGCATCAATTCAACAAAGACTATTTCAACCAAAATTTTACCCTAATAGAAAATTTTAACAATGATTAGTAACGACCAAAGAATGTCATTGAATTAGAATTCACTCTATGATTAATATAGAAAGGTATTATAAAATATGCATCAACATGTATATCAACTGATTACTAGTTGTAATCTTATTGTTTAATCCTAGGTAAGTGTTAAATATGTACAGGGTTAATAGATCCAAACTAGTCATCAAGGGTACACTTGATATGTATATACCAGGGGATGATATTAGCCTCTCTGAGATGTGGGTTGACTAGGGGTGAGGTGGTGATGGGGTTTGGGGTTGGGGTCTATGTATCAGGTTGTAATCTTAGTGTTTAATCCTGATATAGATTGGTGTTAACATTACTGATGACTAACTATGGTATGCATAAGGTTAATAGATTCACACTTGTCATCAAGGGCACACTTAGTATGTGTACCAGAAGATGATCTCACCCTCTTCAGACTAAAGAGGGGCGGAGGTAGTAATATCACTGTTCATTTCTGACAGTAGCATATTTATGGGGAAGGCCATTGGACCGTGGTCTGTGATAAGTGTTATTTTGAAGTGAGAATTAAGCTCTCTAAATGCTCAAATTCATCTCAGGTCATTTGAAATCTGTTGACATCTGGGGGCCTCTGGCAGAACCAAGACGCCTGGTCTCAAGGAACTTTGGTCCTTTGAGTCTTATCCTGCTCATCAGACATTTTTTAGATATCCTGATATAGGTGTTAACATACTGACTACTAACTATGGTATACTAAAGGTTAATATATTCTAACTAAATATATACCTGAAGAGGATTTCACCCTCTCTACAGTGCAGGTTGAAGAGGGGTGGGGTAGATGATGGAAAACTGAAGAAGTTGTTAAGTTTAATTTTCGTACTAATTTTTTGAATTTATAATTAGTTTACTTTAGGTATGAATGTAGACACAAATGACTTTAAGGTTGGAAATCAGAAAAACAATTTATGTTCGGTAAGTAATGTCATGTGTCTACTGAAAAAAGTAAAAGAAACCACATAAGTCATAAAGTTGCTTTTCCAATCATTTTATATTTAAAGGCATTATGAAAG